TTGAATTGAAATGAGGTTGTTTGTGATCTTTATTTGTCCTACTTTGTGTAAATATTCATGTTTCACTGCAGAAATATTCATGCTTAGATGACAGAGTGCTGCCCTGAACCTCCCAGGGAGGGTTATATCATATACAATTTAGTATGCACATTGAATTGTCTTTCTAAAACACACCAAAAAATTTGATTTTTGAAACTGTTGAGGCTCCGAAAATAATATTCCAAAATGAAGACCTCAGAAGCAGTTTCAGAAGTAAAGGTTTTCCTCTGAACTTCTCCGGCCCTCCTGTCTCTCAGTCCCATTCTCCCCTGAGGCTAGCCACAGAAACTAGAACCCCTTTTCCCTAAGACAGATCCTAGAAAACAGAACCTGTTTCCCCAAAGCCAGCTATAAAGGCTAAAAAATAGGATGCTAATTTTCCCTCTATCCTTTATGTGTAAAAGTTGATCATAAAAAATGATCTGACCTTCCTTGCTTGACTGTAGGTCATGAGACACCCCACGCCAGAAAAGATCCTGCCCCACACCCAGAAGGCAGGAATGCTGCTCAGGTAGGCCAAGAAGAATCTAGACAGACAGGCCTTGCTGAGTTTCCCCACAGTCTATGGGCATTAGATCATGCCCTTTTGTCCAATCATACTTTTACACAGCTATCCATATTTTATTGAACCTAAGCATTAAAATGAACAAATTCTTCTTTATCTTTGGATCTTCATTCTGAAGGCTGCTGTGTATCCATGTAAAATAAATGTGTGTGCCTTTTTTCCTATTAATCTGCTTTTTGTGATTTGACCTTTCAGCAAACCTGGAGAGAGCAAAGGAGAAAGTTCTCCCTTAGCTCCTAAATATCTGGCACCAGGGGCTGCTCACAGGGACTGTGGACCTCTGTGGAAGCAAGAAACCAATCTGGAGTTGGTTCTGGTATGTTGTGGGTTAAAGGTCCTTGCCCGTCTTTGCCTGCTGGATATGAACTGTGACTGTGAGCCACCATTATTTGCATGTTTTCACGGTTGGACAACCTATTGCACACCTGTGGGCCCCTCAGGACTCTCCTGTCTCTCACTCAAAAACAGCTCTGTGTGGCCCCCACCATCCTCTCACAGGTGTGCCCTGACAGTGCCTGCTTCCCATGTGGGCCTTCTCTGTTGGTGCTGCAGCATGGTTGCTGGCATGTAACAGCTAGATGTGGTGCAAGCTGTCATCTCATAGGGAGGAATCATGGCCAATGGGTGCAGGAGCCAGCAGTAAGCATTCCCACAGCCAGTCCTGACATGCATTTCAAACTTCCTTTGCAGACACCACTGCAGGATGGAGAACCAGTAACTACAGTGAAGGCCAGCATGCTGGTGCAGCCCTGCATGAATTCACTGTCTTCCCTGGGATGCCTCCCACCCCCCATTTCCCTCCCTGGGATCTTGCTCCCTGGTAAAGAACTCACACACGTGCCTTTGCCTCCAGCTTGGCTCTCTGGATAACTGAGGCTGAGTCAGCTACATATAAAACTATTGAAGTAATTTGGAATCTGTAACAATCAGTAAAAAGTATATTCATGCATTCTATAAACTTGCTCCTTGTATCTACTAATAGGTCAGGCATTCTACAAGGCACTGAAGAGAGAAAAATGTAGAAGCATGAACCAAGCCCTAGAATCTAGTTGGGGAAGGGGCGGTCAGGGGACAGAGAAGCAAAGAATCCCAAGAATAATGTATAAGTTCTACATTGAAGGTGTATGCACATGCTGCTACAGAGTTTGAGGGGAGGGAGGCTCACTGTGCCAACAAGGGTACAGAGCAGGTGGAGCTCCCATACATGCTGTAGGAACATTTCTCTGGAAACAGCATGGCAGTTTCTTTTAAAGCTAAATGTGCACCCACCACATAGCCTTGTCCCACTCCGGGGTAATCACCTAAGACAATGAAAACTTAAGTTCACACAAAACCATCTACTCATAAATGTTTAAAGTAGCTCTATTCACAATTGCCAAAAACTGGAAACAACCCTAATGTCCTTCAATAGGCAAATGGAAAAATAAATCACAGTAGGTCTATAACATGGAATACTACTCAGCAACAAAAGGAATAAACTACTGATACACATAAGAACTTGGATTAATCTGAGAGGCATTACACTGTGTGAGAGAAGCCAATCTCAAAAGGCTGCATACAACCTGATTCCACATATGGCATTCTCAAAGCGACAGAGCTACAGTGATAGAGAACAAATCAGTCATTGCCAGGATTGGGGGTGGGGGAGTGACCACAAAGGGACAGCAGAAGGAGGGTATTTCTGGTAATGGTCCTGCTCTGTATTCTGATAGTAGTGGTGGTTAATACACCTACCCATGTCTCAAAACTCACAGAATTTTACACCAAAGAAAAAGTCAATTTTACTCTATGATAACTGAAAAATAAAATAAAGAGGATAAGAGTAAATGCTGGTCTAGGTTATGATTCCTAAATGAAGAAATGTGTTCTATGATGTCATGTTTTGTTACATAACGCACATCTTATTTGAAAATACCTAGTGTTACATGACATCACTTTCTGTTTTATGATGTCACATTGAGCTATATGGTGTGTGCTGTATTGATGTCAAATTGTGTTACGTTATGTGCATCATGTGAAATGACATCACCTTGTATTATATGACATCACGTTGTGCTGTATTATGTAACATGTCATGATGCACATTGTGTGATATGATATCACGTTGTGTAACATGATGCATGTTGTATTCTATGGCATCAGCTTGTGTTATTGTGTGTTACATAATGTCATCTTATATTATATGACTTTGTACTATGTTACATGAGGCACAGTGTTATAAAACATCACCTCGTGTTACATGGTATCATGTGTCATTACATGATGTACATTGTGTGGCATGATGTCATCTCATGTTACATGACATCATACTACATGACACTCAACTTATGTAGCAGGCCATATTCAAAACAGAACTTCACCAAAGCTGAACAATTACATTCTCTAGTGGCTGAAACCCTGGGAAGATCTTGTATTTGTTTTTCCCCTGCTCTTATAAGGAGAGTTTCCTTAGAGAATAACTCTAAGGAAACTGTAATCCATTAAAATATATGCTAATAAAACTTTTCTCCTAATCAACCTAGCCTATAATGATGAATATGCTAATATATGGATTAGGTATTCCAGGTTCCCAAACCCTAACTAAAAACAAAACAAGATATAAAAGCAGAAAAGAAGCCCCTCAATCACAGATGTAACAATCTCACAAAAAGAGAGAGACAGTTTCATAAAAAAGTATAGACATCTTAGGCTAAAATGAAAGTTTTACAGTATTCAGGACTTTTTTAAAGTCCATATAGTTAAAGATGTGACTTTAAATTTTTAAGTTATTATTCTTAGTACAAGGGCTATTGCCAAATGGTAACAAAATTGAGTGTAAGCTCTTATATATTTCTAGTTTTAAAAATGCCTGCTATGTTCTTTTAAAGTAGAATCTCAAATAAAATTAGAAACAAAACAATCTGAATACCAAGAAGCCTTCTCTAATGGAACCCTCTGCCCACAAAACCCCAGCTTTGTTGTATTTGTTTAATTACTGGTGGTGACCACCTAACATTTTTGTAGTGATTAAAGGTATATAATGTTAAAATTACATTCTGTCTGAAGTCTCTATGCCTGCAGCAATTTCCAGATGTAACAAAAGGAATAAACTACTGCAGTTGAAATTCACAACATTGTTGTCACTCCCGCTTTGGCATTCTCCATGGCTTCATCGGGATGCTAAGTGGATCAGCTCTCAGGTATGGATGAGTAAAACCTGCCTGCTCATAACCCACCCAGGCCACCCAGTCAGCTGGATTTGAGATCACTTAGAGAAATAAATCCTGAAAGGCTGTGAACAATAACATAAAGCTGGACACCAGTCAAAAGCATGTACACTCTGCGCTAAGTAAGACAGAAAAGAGAAAGTGGCGTCTAACCTAAGGATTTCTGTTGGTATCCAGGAACCCAAGGAGCAATGATGTGATGCCAACAGTGGAAGTTTGCCATGTTATCTGCATTCTACAGCAGTTACAGTCCTCAAATTTTGCAGTAAATTGGGTTTTTATTAAAATTAAGATAAAATAATGTATTTTAAATATCTTAGCAGAGCTCGCTTTTAAAAGAAAACTGTGGGCAAAACTTTGGAAAGACAACATCTCAAATTTATCTTTCTCATAAATCTATTCTTTCATGTGGGGTGGGTTTTGGAAGTAGCTTTTGCTTTGTTTGTTTTAAATAATGACACCAAATGTATAATGAAAATCTAAGGAAAGTGAAGAATGTTTATGGAGAATGGAGAATGCTGAGGGCTGACAAGATCGGTGGTGCGCCCATCTGAAGGAGGCATGTCTCAGGGTACACAAGCATGGACTACAATGCGGGGCTGGAGAAAGTGAGGGGAGAGAAACCAGCAGGAGAAGATGGGCGCGCAAGGGGAAAAAAGTGCCAGATGCACATCAGCCAAGGAGAGTGGGCCTGTGCAGGGCCCTGACAAGTCTCCAGCCCTCTCACAAACAGTCTTACTAGCCATCAGGTTGAGCTGCACGAATGGCAGAACTCATCTTGCTGGTGTGACTTCCTGTCTCTTCTGGGAACTATTTAAAGATACGATCGCCATGTAAAATAGATTCAACAGTACCTGCTCTATATCCTTTTAATGTTAAACCCTGGGGGTTTGAGGACCCATGCCTCAGAGTCACATGGCTGGTGCTACATGTCTGTCTATCTGTCTCTCTCCTTCCGTGTGTGCGTGTGTGTGTGTGTTCCCCCCACCACCCCAGGAAAAAAGAGAAAAGGCTTCTTCCCCTCCATCAGAGTCAGCCCACCTTCTGTCTCAGTCCTAGCTGGTCTCCTCACCAGCACAGCTTGTCATAGGTGAAGGCAGTGTCTGGGAATATGCCTTGAAACCTTCCCATCTAAACTGTGATATCAATTGTAAAGCCTATCAACAAAAGCAAGCAAAAATTAGACTCACCGAGATCAAGATGAATGCCAGGGATAAATGAATTGAGAAAGAACGTGAAGATAACAAATCCCAACACTGTCAGGCATTTGATGAGCAGAATCCTGTCTGATATCCTGTGCTGTGAGAGAGAAAATAGCAACTCATTTATTTGGTACAAACTTCTGACTCCTGCAAAGTGTCCGTAAGCCTATGGGACTCACATCACTACAGATTTCTCCTTATGATGAAAAATATAACATCTCAAACTCTAAAGAAGATAACAAAGTGGTGTGTTACAAGAAAAACTAGACAGATTTGGAATCATAGCATCAAAATTTTTATGAAAAATAATCACAGCAAATGTAAAATGCAGTACAATCCTTTTATAAAACACCTGACTAAATAGCTTTTTAACAGAACATAGAGTTAAACTCTTCCCAACCTGGCCCCCGTGTTGGGTGAGATTACACATGTGTTTCCATGGGTGCCTGTGTGGTCACAGTGTTTTTACTTCCACTTTCCTGTCCCCACCACACAAAGCCATGCTCACAAGGGTGACAAGGTTATGATGTTCTTGCAATGCCACCACACCCGCACGAGGCCCTTGCCAAGTCTGTCCCTGTAACACTCATGAGGGCCTAGAATGTGGGAGTTGCCCCCTTTTCACTGGGGTGACACCTGCAAGCATCGGCCCCATCACTCAGGGCGAGAGGAGGTGCTAAAGGCTCACCATCTGCTAAAGTACCCCCATCAGCCTCAGAGGCACAAGGCAAGTGAGACGGGGCTCTGCCCTGCAAGTCCCTGAGTGTGCTGTGCTCTGCAGGCCACAGCTGTGCAGGGCTAGGCAGGGGAGCCTGTGCAGGTAGGCACCAGCTCAGCCTGCACTGCTAACCGTGTCCCCAGGGTGAATCTAGCCCACTGTGTGAACGGAGAGCTGTGCTGGGTCCTTTGTTAAGTATGGACCTATCTATCTATCAGCCTAGGATTAGGCAGATGCAGTCATCTATGATTACAGATATCCAAATCTATGTATACCTTAAAACCTATGGATGCCTTGACCAGAGATACCTATGTCTGTCTACATTTAGACAGCTGTAGTCGGACTATACAGCTGTAGACATATAGAGGGGGAGCTTGAGATGGATCTTCTGTCTCATTCCCTCGAATCACACCATTAAAGCTGCTGCCATCAAGAGCACAAGCGAACACCAGCACCTCACAGCAGCTCTGGGGTCACAGAGCTCAGTCAAACTGGGGTCACATCTGTTGAGCAGCTGCTCTCTTGTCCTTGCCAAGGCTCATGGCTGGGCCAGATCCCTCTCATCTTCCCCTTCCCATCTCCAACGATGTTGCTGCAAGACTCTGTGCTGAAGAACTCACAACAAAGGGGCATGGCAGGGAAAATGTTGAAGCACTCGGAGGACAGTGATGCAGGTTCTCACCAGGTGCAAGGGGCCCCCCAAACCTGCCCTGCAGTCACACTAACCATAGAAAGTGGGAACTGCAACAGCCAGTCGAAGACTGGGGATGGAGGAATAGGCAAGTCAAAGAACATTCCAGTATTATTTATCGCTGTACATGGAGGCTGCTTTTGAGTATTTGTCAAATTTGCTCCTCTGGCCATCTGGGGTCATTTCAATAAGAATTCTTAGACACTTACAAATTGGTGCTCAGATGACACCAATCCTACCATTCGACTAAGTTACAATTACCTTGAACAATTTGGGGTTGTATGTTTTATAGTCAGTTACAGATTTTTTTGGGGGGGGGAGTTCTGGTTCATAAGGGTTGATTAAACAGCAGCTGTCATTTAGAGACTAAGGGAACAGATACATTTCTGGGTTTTAGAAAGTTTCAGCAGAGCCCATTTCTTAGATAGGTCTGGTGGAGGCTTTTCCAGAGACATGCAGATTTTTTTGTGTGTCTCCTGTTTATCTGGAGCTCAATGAATTTGGTTGTGTTCCCTTCAGTAACAGCAACAGTTACTAGACAGTGAGTGGGGGGACAAGAAAAAATGTTCACTTTTAAATTCAAATGGCTTCTATGTTTAGCCCAGTTCAGTTTAATACAAGTTTCTAAGTCTTTTCTACATGACTGTTTTAATATAAGCAAAATGGCCTCTTTTCAGCCTGTAATGGGGGAAGGTGGGAAGATCTCAATGACAAGGTGACAAACAGGGACAGGAAAGGGAGAGAGTGAGCAGAGCTCTGGGGATGTCACGTGGAAATCTTGGGGTGGGTATCAAAAGAGGGCAGGCTGCACAGAGTGTTAGGCTTCTCCCCCAGCACCCACCTTCCCAGACTTCTTTTTTTTTTTAACTTTTAAATTTACCATTTAGGGTCTGAATACTTATTTAAAAAGAAACTGAGTAATGGTCATAAGAAATGCAGTCATTATTAATAAATAGTGAGAAAAAGGTAAGAAACTATATGTTTTATTATAAACACTGAATGGAGACATTGCTTAAACAAACAGGTTTTTGGTGGATACACAGCTTGTTCCCTGATTCCATAGTATCATAATAAAACTCCTCACTTCTCTCAGCTTTCTGCCTCTCATATTTGACTGACTGCAAGGAAACAGCTGACTGTTGGATCCAGTCATAACACCCCCACACACATGCACAGGACAATCACCTGGTGGGCCTTGACTCAGGTAGGTCAATCAGAGCTTTGCAAGTATTAATATTGAGAGTGAAGGAGAGAAGTGGGCTCTGTCCTTGGGAGTCAAATGCTGTAAGGATCTGTTCAACTTGTAGCTGCCATGGACAACTTTCTCAGTGGAAAACCCATCAGAGAATGAAGCCAGTGTGAAGGAAAGCAGAGCAAAGATGGGAAAAGACAGGTTCCTGTTGGTGTTCAATCAAATCCAGCTGTACTGAAAACCAGCCCAGCTTCTGAGCTTTAAGTGAACAAATAAACTTTTTCCCCTTACTTTCCTTTGACTTAAATTTCAATGACTTTCAACCAAAAGAACCTTGACAAATAGAACAAAATAACGAGTGTATGTAGCATGAATTGTGAATTGTATTAAAATAATTAAACTTTTCCCATGCCTACTGTAACCTTTAAATATTAATAAAAACATTGCTGAAAAGTGAAAAAAAGAATTCTTAGATGCAATGAAAAGATGTTTGCCATGCCCTTGCCAGTCCCCTCATCTCTCCCCCATCCTCCTGCACCAGATACACACAGAGATACAGTCTCTTTAACTCGTGGCTAAAGCAACACAGTCTAGCAAGGCTAGCAGTGTCTGTGTGATCCTGGGGCCCAGAAGAGTGTCTTAGCTACACCTTTCTCTTCTAACCCTGATCATCTACTTGCACGGAGATTGTGAGAAGAGCCCAGATGCCCTGAAGAACACATCACCCACCAGGACCCCAGCATCTGAATTTCCTTTAGCAAAAAATAAGATGTTCCTCTCGTAGAGAATGGGTAGTCAATCACACCCTAGAAAATAAACTACACAGATTTGGCACTTCGTTAAAATACCAATGACTCCTAGGAGATCATGAGATCTCTGGACTGGGAGAGGGGCCCAATATGTCCACAGGTGAGCTAAGAAAGTCCTCTACTACTGGAAAATGAGCAAAAAACCCAACATGAGCTCTGCCCCCAGAAGTCAGAGCTGTTGACAGGACACACACACATCCCATGTCTGTCCCTAAAGCTGTTCGCTCTCACACAGCACACCTCACCAGTCCCAGTCACCATCTCCTTGCTACAAAATGGGAACCTTGAGGCCTATATCTCAGTGTCATGAGAGGGCTAGTGAGGACAGGTTCTATGATGTGCCCCTCCAGGGCACACGTGTAGGCATCTTAAAGGTCATGGAAAAATGTAAACTTTCCAATTACCTGACCAAATAAGCCTACCATGTCTGAAAATATTGTTCTCCATTCGTTCATAGAAATAAACTGTCTTGTGTACAACTGCTGGAATAAAAAGAGAAGTAGCCTTCACTCATAATTTGTTGTGAGGTAAAGTAAAGGATTCAATTGCTCTCTTCTCTGAAAAGTGAATCAGAAATCTCTGAGAAAAGAATCTACAATACCTTTTTTTGTAGCTCCTGGATGTTGGTCTCCCAATTTTTATCTTCCTGGGAGATCTGTCTAGAGAGAAAGGGACAGACTTGTGATTTCCCTGGGGTCTCATCAGTGAGATCAGCAGGACAGCAGTCGTCAGCACCCAGAGTCTCAAGTCTGAGCCTGGTGCAGCAGTGTAAGGGGCCCAGCAAGGTATGGGGGAGAGCAGCAGGGCTCGGGGCATCAACCAGGAAAGATGCTCACTCGATGTGTCCAGAGAAAAATAACACATATAATGATCTGAACATAGAAAGAAGAGTGTATGAGGACATGCATGTGAGTGTGTGCACACATGAGGCACTGAGTGGTAGAGAGTTTGGTTCAATGAGTGTCACAGAAAACTGACCTCACAGCCAGCTGGCCTAACACAAACCATGGCAGACACAATTGGGCAATTCTAAGGACAATTTTTACAAAGAAGAGATTTTTTAAAAAAAGACCTGCAGAGCTAGATCCTGCTTCAGATCACCCTCATTCTACTCTGCTTCTCAGCAACTGTGTGGCTTTGAGAAGTCACCACCCTGCCAAGGCCTCGGTTTCCACAGCTGTGAAACACAGGAAGAGCTGACAGGAGCTTGGGTAATCTCAAAGCCCACAGTGGTAACCTAAGATATGCTAAGTGTGTCTTTCACATCCATGCCAGGGCAATTTGCTCCCACATCTTTAATCTATGAAGTGTCTTAAGATCTATGCAGGTTGTGGACATCAGTCATTCTTTCCCCAGCCTGCAACTAAGACCTATCCCACAGTCTGAGGACACAGGTGCTGCTTCTCAGCGTCTGGGTGGAGGAAGGTCCCGGGCTGGCAATGGGGTGATGCTGTGGAGCACTTCACCCCCAAGCTGCACCCTGGAATATGTGGTCTCCATGTGCTTGCCTGTGTCCTTCTCCTACTGAAAGATTAGACTTCAGGACAACCAGGCAGAATGACCCTACATGGGCTGCTAGTGGCAGCAAACTGCCACATGCATGGCCATTCTCGATTTGCTCACAAGGCCTCACGTGGCCCCTTGCCTTGGTGGACTTCTTGTCTCCGTGCACTCTAGGCTCATGTATAAGGATGCTTCAACCTCCCTCAGTACCTGCTTTTCCTGTCAGAACATCCAGACACAGCTCACTAATTCAGGTTAGTAAGTCTTAGGTTTGACTGAAAATGAATGCCAGGAAGTGAATTGAGTAGGACTCTGGTATTCTTGGAAAGGCCTGAAAATCAGCCATGGGGAGAATATTTGACAGACTGGTCCATTATTGTAATTGCTCTATACTTTAGTCACACAGCAACTGCAATGTGGGGATGCAGTTACACAGTGGTTAGGAGTGTGAACCTAACCTCTGTGAGCTGTAGAATCCTGGGTGAGTTGCTCAAGCTCTTTGAGCCTCAGTTAATTTTGTCTTTAAGCTAAGCTCCTGCTGGTGCACACCCTGCAGAGCTAAGCCAAGCTCCTGCTGGTGCACACACTGCAGAGCTAAGTGCAGGTTAGATAAAGCACACCAAAGGGGTTTAGGCCAGTGCCCAGCACCTAAAATTGGCTCGGTAGGTTGCAACCAGGATTGCTATCGTGTAGTGCCATGGAATGTTCTGAAGAGCTATCACTTTACCTCACTCATGTGCTAATTGTATACCATCTGGATATCACCAAGGGAGGGGTAGAACAGACTGCTCATACCATCCCAACACTAGCACAACCTGTATGGCAAGTGCCATTGCTGCAAATCAGTGCAATCTGAGCAGGACCCTGCTTGGTACCTGTGGAAGGTACGTAGCCTCCGGGCCAGCAGGTGCTCCAGAGCCAGCACCTTCCCCAGCAGCAGGCGACGCACAGCTGTCTCCTCACGACTGGCCGGGCTGATGCGCTGAGCCGTCAGGCGCCAGACATGGATCTCGTGCTTCAGTTCTGCAGGGACAGAAAGGCCAAACTCGAGTGTCCCACCACCTCAGATATCAGAAGTACCCCCTCTGCTCCCTACATACACCCACAGCATGCAGGTAGGCCAGGTCACCCAAGGCGGTGGCTTCTCAGCACCTGAGTTATTGTCTTGGAATCAGATGACAAAGCTGACATTTAAAAATGACCACAAAAGTGAAGTAATGCAATTTCAACTCTTTGAGTGAATAATTATTTCCTTTCTTGAGCAAATACATCAACAAACTTGTCCCCCTCTTGGCAAGAAGTAGTTCACTTCTACTCTCAACCCAAATCAATATGGTGAAAACCAGAAATACAGGTTTCATTTCCAGGAGGCAGTGCTCAGGGCTTTCCAGTATGGCACTTGGTAAGAGGCAGGAGAAGGGAAAAGCCTTCCTCCCCAGCCAGGTCCCACTGAGCTTGAGTCGATGGCATAGGTGAGAGAGAGGTAGATGACCTGATGAAATGCCAAAATCTACAGAATGAGTTGAATTTTCACTCTTCACTGAATTCAGACACCTTCTGATAGAGAAGAGTAGAGAGAAGTGATATCAATTCATTGCCTCTTAAGATATTAAAATATTTCATAAAAGCATACATTTAATCTTACTTTTACCATTAAAAAACACTACATAAGTTTCCAAAAATATCCACTAAAAGAATATAAGAAAACACCATATTTTCATGATCCACCCGTGTGCTACATGCTACCCTACATATCACAAGAATTAGAGGTGGAATTAAAAGACCAAAGCCCTTCAAGCATTTGATGAGCCATTCCAGGCAGAGGTAAGACACGTAATGACCAATGACCCCAGAGGTAGCACAAACACCATGGGCTCAATGAAAAGGGAAAACAAAAAGCCCCTATGTTCAGTACAAAAGTGCTGATCACCTGCCAAGTGGCAGACCCAATGCAGCAACAAAGGCAAGCCAGGCAGAAGGAAGCAGCCTGTCATGACTCAGAGGACTGACAGGGCACCACAACTATCTCAGTTAGCACATGGCTTTCTCTAAAGCTTCAGTCCTACCAAGATGACAGTGCTTTAGAACTAGATACTTAATATGTTTTTATTCAGTCCATATCGATGCCTTGTAGCTTACTCAAATGAAAGGAACTTGCAGATAAGTCTCACACCTCTTTAAACCACCTAGGAGGTTATGATAGCATAAAAAGAAGGGGAAAGAGGATGAGGAGAAGAAAAGAAACCAATTAACTCACTCTGAACACACAAAAATGTCATCTTGGGACTGAAAAAGGGGGAGAATAGCTTCCATGTAAGTTCACACAGGGCCAGTACTTCATCCAGGGCTCTGAATCTTGTTATGTAAAAGGTATCACTGAACCCATCCATCAAATATCAGAGACTTTCTAAAGGCACAGTGATGGGCCACTTTATGAAGCAGCTGGTTAGGTTTAAAGAGCTCACAGAGCAGCATGGTTCAGCTCTGGGCCAGCCCATGGGTGCAGGCTGAGTCTCAATACATCTGTGTTTGGGGGAGCACAGTCTGTAAACCAAGGCCATGTCTGGAGCCAGCCTTCCAGTTCCAGGCTCCTTTCTGCAGGTGCGTCCTTTCCAGAGGCATCCTCAGCTACCCTCATGCCCACCTGACCCACCTGCCTGCCTGACCCATAAACTAGAACGAACAGCTCTGCTCAGCCCACGTATTAAAGTTCAGGTAGCGCACTTGTGTTTTCCTAGTTGCAGAACAAAATATACAAATTATAAAGGAAGAACAAAAATATGTGAATTATTAGTTGGAAGAGATTTTGCCCAGGAGAAGGGAGCTCACTCTCTTCATCCAGAACTCAGTTACCAAGACATGTTCATGCATCAGGTATCCTCTGCCCTCCTCTGTCATTTCTACCCTGACTGCTCTGCTGAGCTCTAAGACCACAGTCCCAGCTGGCTACTCGATATTTTCCTCCAAACCCTTAGCTGAAATCTCAGAGCTAAACACTCTATATTTATCCCACAAAACTCTCTCCCCACCTCTCTTACTTTTAAGTTTTTATATGACATCATTGCTCTTCCAGGTATGCCAGATTGTAGTATCATTTTGGTCTCATCAATGTCATTCTCCTATATTTCTATATTGACATTATTGAGTATGGAATAGGTGTCAGATATAATTTTAGGTGCTAAAGGACTAAGTTAATTGGTAAGTTACAGGACAGGGCTCCAACATTCTAGAAAGAGATATAAGATGCATCATAAATAAATATAAGCCACGGCAGTATGAGCCACAAAGGAGCAGTTCAGATTATGCTGGCACAGTTCCTGCCTTGTTCACTTGTTCCTGACCTAGCTCATCTGTTTTTCAGGCCTTAGTAACCTTTTACTAGAGTCACTTCCTACCAATCTAGCCCTGGTTAATCATAAAACACTGCTTATTCTATCTATCATTGATCTATCGCCTTCCTAGATTAAAGGAAGATGACTGGTTTCTATCATATTCCTAGATCTATCTATCATTTCCTAGATGAAACAGACAAACAGATAGATTTCTTCTTTCAAATATCTAATGGTTCTCCATGGCCTGCAAAATAAAGCTAATAATCTCAAAGATCTTCGGGGAAGACTCAAGATCCTCAAATGACTAGCATCATTGTGAGCCTTGACTCTGTCATATGAGTTTCAACTCTATACCATTGCCACTCCGGCCTCTGACCAGGAGACATCATCAGATATCTCATCTCTCACTTCTCCATCAGCCCCTATCATCCTGAGTTTCCTAACCAACCTCAAATGGTACCACTTGGGGTGGCCATATACATGTTTTAAACAGGAAAAGACAGTGCTGTGTGGGATGTGCTCTCTCACAGGAGATGGTAGCTACCAGGGAAGACTAGAGGAATTAGCTCAGAGTTAGGAATCTCAGGAGAAGAAGCCCAGGCCAGGAAAAAAAATAGAAGTATACTAGTAACAAATTCTTATACCATATGGTAAGTGGTATAATATCACTTAAAGTTAGTGACATAATCATCACTAAGATTAAAAATAAAAACAAAAAAATAGCAAAAAAAATCAGAGCCAAAAGAGAAGATAATATAAAATTTATTTAAATATCAAATTTTTTAAAAGGCTAAAATGAAGGAAAGAAGAATAAAGGAGAGAAGACACATATAAAACAAAAACATGATGCTATGCTTAAAGTCAACCACATCATGAATCGCATTAAATATAAATGCTCTAAACATACCAATTAAGAGACAGGGCTTATCAGACTGGATTTTTAAAAAGCAAGACCCAACGATGTGCTTCTTACAAGAAATGCACTTTAAATATAAAGACCCAAATAGGTTAAAAGTAAAATGATGGAAAAAGCTATAACACTCTAACTTTGGTAAAGAGAAAGCTGGAATTGCTATATTAACAACAAAGTAGATTTGGGAGAACAGAATATTATCATGGATAGGGAATGTTTTTAATAATATGCTAATTCATCAAGATGAAATAACAACACTAAATGTTTATGTTCCCTAATAACAAAGCCTCAAAATATACAAGAAAAAGAGAAATAGACAAATTCACAATCTTGGTCAGAGACTTCTATATCCATCTCTCAATAAAAATAGAACAAGTAGACAGAAAACACATAAGAATATAGGACACTTAAATAATAAATAATATCATCTGCCAACCTGATCTAATCTATCATAACTGATACCATTGACCATTCTACCCAAAAACAGCAGAATGCATATTCTTTTCTAGTGCACACAGAATTTTTACAATGATAGACTACATTCTATAGCCATAAAAAAAGTCTCAATAAATGTAAAGGGCTTCAAGATTTATAAAGTATATTCTGCTATCACGGTGGAATTAAATTAGGTAACTGCAAAATCCCCAAATATTTGGAAAGTTAATAAACACATTTAAAATATGAAAAGAGCAAAGAATAAATCAAAAGGTAAATTATAAAGTAATTTGAACTGAATGGAAATAAAGCATACAAAAATTTGTGAGAGGCCACTAAAGTAGTACTTGGAAGAAAATTTAGAACCAAATACCTATATTAGAAAAGAAGTTACATATAAAATCAATAACCTTCATTTCCACTTTAGGAACTAGTGAAAGAAAAATAAACAAACTCAAAGTAAACACAAGAAAATAAATTACAAAGGGTAAACATTATTGAACTAAAAAGTAAAAATAACTGCTGCTAAGAAAAATCTATATCATCAAAAGGTAGTTCTTTGAGATTAATAAAATTGATAAACCTCTGGCCAGACCAATAAAAAAAAGAGAGAGGAGACACAAACTATCATTATCAAGATTGAGAGAGGTGATATTATCAAAAATTCTATAGCCATTAATGGATAATGAAGATATATTATGAACAATATATTTGACAACTTAGACTAAATAGACAAAGTCCTTAAAAGATACAAACTACCAGTAATCACTCAAGGAGAAACAGATGACTACTAGTAATCTCTCAAGGAGAACTAGATAACATGAATAGCCAGATATATACGTGTGTGCACGCACACGTCTGTGTGTGTGTGTGAATTTTAATTTATGGTTTTAAAAAAAAACCTTCCCATGAAAACATCCAGGCCTTTAAATATCCTGGCAAAATTTAAGGAAAAAAATAATGGCAATTGAGGACTAAACTGTGATCTTTTTCTCCTATCCAAATTCCTTACTAGGAGGCTTAGGAATCATATCTTATAAGGATTCACCAGATGGGGTTTTATTACCTATTGACCTATATACTGAAGTTTGCTTTCCAATCTGATCCTGGCATGGCATCACACAACAGATAAAGAAGGAAATCAAAATATTTTATGATCCTGCAAAAGCATGTCTTGGGGATTCCCAGACGCCAGGTACCTTGTCCTCTATTGATTTCCAAAATTCCTTAGATAGTGGCACTCCCAGACTACAAGCACCTTGTCCTCAACTGATTTCCAAAATTCCTTGGACAGCAACTATAAATTGCCAGTGAAGAAATCCTTAAATCCACCAATAACCTGC